AATTTTCTTTAAAAATTCATTTCTCGGGCTTGGGACCTCAGAATTCGATTTCGGGCATACGCCCAAGTCCCATATTTTCCTACGGATCCTTCGGGACCGTCAAATCACGGGTCCGGATCCGTTTACCCAAAACGTTGACCGAAGTCAAATTAATTTATTTATTAGCCAAATTTTTTCATTTTTCACAGATTTTCATATTTAAGCTTTCCGGTTACGCGTCCGGACTGCACACGCAAATCGTGGTGACTCTAAATGAGGTTTTCAAGGCCTCGGAAACACAGAATTTAATTTAAAGCAAGTGATAACCTTTTGGTTCATCACATACATGAATAATGATATTCGAATATTGATATTGCGGTTTAATTTATCATATTGGTTGTTTATTCATATCCTGAGCCTAGTTATTTTACTGCCTAGGTAACAGTGAAATACTATATATAAATCTTGAGTTGAACTTGAAAGATGTAATTCTTGATTGCAAACGGATTGAATAGAGCGCGGTCTTGAACCTAGTCATTGGAGAATTGATTTGTGAATACAGATAGAAATATACCTATTTTCCATGCTTAGCAATTGTGCAAGAGATTATCGATGCATTTTTTTTTACCTCGAATCTCATTGGCATATATGGTTTAGAATAAACTGAATAGGCGAGTAGAAGCTGTCAATTTTTTACATGTATTATTGTCCTTGCAGGCTGCTGACCTAGATAAATTAATAAGTCGAGTTGATTGAAGAATTCAACAGGATTGTTATCCAACCATAACTCTGAAATATTAATTCTCATAAATTCGTGCTAAAGATGCTAGTTAATTAGTTCTTAATCGCAACTCTAGTAGTAGAATTAATAAAACAAAAATCACCTTGAAATTGTTGTTGACTCGATAAATTACAATTTGCTAGATTTAGTTAACTGATCACAAGTTCTCGTGGGAACGATACTTTACTCACTTTTTACTACTTGATTGACAGCGTATACTTGCGTGTGCGATTTAGGGCAACGAGCTTTTAGTATTTATAAAAATTTCTGCCTTTTTTTAAAAGCAACTACTAAGCTACGAAAGAGTACTATAACTAAGTTAAAATGACAAAGAAAATTACCAGACAATCTTCCTACCCCACACTTAAAATTGTGCGTCGCTCTAATACACACCACAAATAAAAAATTATGTGTCGCCTTAATATACACCATAAATAGTAAGAGGGTAAAAAAAACTCCCTGAATAAACCAAAAACCAAAACAATAGTAGTTTACGGACTTCTCCCACATATTAATCTTGTGTGTGGACACTCCACAATTATTTCCGATCATTTGCTCGCTTTTGCAACTAAAATTAGTCGAAGAAAATAAGAAGGGACCATCCGATGAGAAATTGAAAAAACATATACATATTTGGACCATTAAGAGGGTCACGTAAAAAAGTAGAATGAACGTGCCTAAGAATTAGTAGTCATAAAATCTTTGAATAGGTGTCCCTCTCCTCCTTGTAGCGGTGCTCCACTCCGCTCCTCTTTCTGCATTTCTTCCCAAACCCATCTTATCTCCTCTTCTCTGTACACACACAGACACATACTGAGAGACCGAATAGACAGTAATGGGCGCATACAGAGCGGACGACGATTACGATTATTTATTCAAGGTGGTATTGATCGGCGATTCCGGCGTCGGTAAATCCAACCTCCTCTCCAGATTCACTCGCAACGAGTTCAGTCTCGAGTCAAAGTCAACGATCGGCGTTGAATTTGCCACTCGTAGCATTCGTGTAGATGATAAAGTCGTCAAGGCTCAGATTTGGGATACCGCCGGTCAAGAACGGTATCTCCATTTTTCATTTACTCAATTTCCTTTTTTACTGTATACATTGAACTGTAAATATTTGAGATCTGAAATTCTGATACAAATTGCTTTGCTCAATTGGCGTTATATAACTTGTTAGGATTTCGTTTTTGTGGCAAAAATCAGATCTGATACAAACATTATTAAATGATAGATGGTGTTTGTATCAGAAAATGTTGACATTTTTTATTTCAAATTTATCATTAGAGAAAGTTCAGTTTGCAACAAAAAAAATCTAATTGCCTTTGGTTGAAGAGAAAAATTGTCAATTTTGCTGAAATAAATGCCACCTAAATACCCATACCTATGTTGGTGGGAGCTAACAGGTACTCAGTGGAATAGTTGAGTGTGTGCAAGCTGGCCCGGACACCACATTCATAAAAAATTGCCACCTGAATACTTTACCCAGTTGTATTTTTTTTTCCCAGTTCTTCTGGTTATATATTTGTCGTTTTTATTTGTTATTATTATTCTTGAACTACACATTGTGATATTTTTATCTTCCAATTTCACTTCTTCATTAAAGGTTTTTGCTTTCTTAAAGCCCGAATTTTTTCACTCTTTGCGTTTGATAACACTTTGAACTGTACAACCACGAGATTTTGAGAGTTAGTGCAAAACTGCTCTGTGTGTGAATAATTTTTGGAGATTTCTTGTCTCACAGTGGTGGAAAATGGAACCAGGAATTTAAACAAGAGGGATTCAAAAATTGTCATACTTGGGATTTGAACCTATGACCTAAAGTCATATTTTCAACCCCTTTTACCACTTTCTAGAACTTCTCTTTATGTCAAGGGGATTCAACAGCTTATATATAACCAAATAACTAGTTTTAGCCCTATTTTTTAAGTACATAATTGTTCAGCGAAGGAGGCTCAATTGAACCCCCTTCATTCAAGCTAGCTCCGCCCCTGAAATCTCAGTCTCATAGGTAAAGCCACTGCCTTTTTTTCTTCTAGCACCAACAGGCTTTTCGTAATTCGGGGGCAAAAGATTTGGACAGATTGCTCTCAAAAAGCCAATGACTTTTTTTCCTTATTTCTCGTCCAGAACAGGCTAGCCTCCAATTGTTACTGAGACCACTTCACAAGTGAGCTGCATGCCCGGCTAGAAAAGGAGTTCAAGCTCTTTTCTGGCTCTCTTTGAATCTCCATTTTACTGTATTCCACTGCCTAATCATATAGTTTGATGGATTTCATGCGGTTTTCCTCAAACAAAAGAGCCAGGTGATCAGCTAGGATGGCAAGGCTACAACAGTGACCTTTTGAGTTTATAGATTACTGCCCACCCTACTCCAAGGGGATCAGTCTTCAAAATTAAGTTAGTCTTCACTTTTTTTTTAAATCATGGATCTAAGATGAAATGTTCTTTCTTGATTTTGTTTCATTAGGCTAACATTGATCTCTGAAATGATTTCGGCTGTTATTTTTTCGTTCGTTTTGAAGTCTGAAATGAGATGTGGTCATGGTCTTGTTATAAATAAGTTTGATGTACTAGGGGCCTCTTTTCATTACTTATTTTCTCCTATCTATTGTTGTAGTAGTAGGTTTCCAGCCTTGGTTGACCCATGTTTCTATAGCTTTTACAGTCTAAGGTCCTATAAATATTTGGTGTTCATCTTGTTTTACCTGGTACAATTTCCATGTTATTTTATATCTTACTTTCCAATATGGAAATGTTTTGATTCGATGTTTTGTATCATAATAATTTCTCAGTTTGTGCTCTTTGTTTAAGATATCGCGCAATCACAAGTGCCTACTATCGAGGAGCTGTCGGTGCATTGCTTGTCTATGATGTCACTCGTCATGTAACCTTTGAGAATGTAGAGAGATGGTTAAAAGAGCTCCGAGACCACACCGACTCTAGCATTGTCATAATGCTGGTGGGTAATAAGGCAGATTTACGTCATCTGCGGGCTGTTTCAACTGAGGATGCCAAGGCGTTTGCTGAGAAGGAAAGTACGTTTTTCATGGAAACATCTGCGTTGGAGTCCATGAACGTGGACAATGCCTTTACAGAAGTGCTCACTCAAATACACCGCGTTGTTAGCAGGAAAGCTCTAGAAGTAGGAGATGACCCTGCAGCATTGCCGAAGGGGCAGACTATTAATGTTGGAGGGAAGGATGATGTTTCTGAAGTAAAGAAAGCCGGGTGCTGTTCTTCTTAGAACAAAGAGTAATACAAATGGTTGAACAGGTTCTCTTTGCTTTGAGCGCAAAAATTGACATGGCAGTTGTACTTCTCCCTCTATATACTAGGAAGTAGCCACATGGATTGCTTATCAATGAGAGCTTTATTAACTGGACCACTAGGCATTACTGAATTGAGTGCAACCCCAAGATTGGTTGTCCAAGTGACTTCATAGCATTCTTTATCCTTGTTTCTATATTTTACTTCCTTTGGTCAATGATTATAGTATTAGCTTCTTGTGGACCTCCATGATAGGGTATATTTGTTTGGAAAAGATTTGAACGGATACATGTATGAACACATTTTATCCTGCCTTGTATTTGATTGTTTGATTAGTTATGGACTGAGGAATATTTTCAATTTCTATATAAGCGCTCTCTCTCTGTGTTTGTGCTAATTTTGTACACGTGATTTTGATTAGTTGTTGACTGATCGTCTTATTGCTGCCCTTCTTTTGGAACAATATTTTGGTTTAGATTCAATAATATTTACTGTGATGTGGGGAGTATGCCGAGGACGCTTTTTCAGTCTTATACTTTTAGTAGATTTTAAAAGTTTGCCTTCGTTGTAGGGAACTGATTAGCTCTTTAATTTGGGGTTGCTCAAGTAAATCATAAATACCAGTTGGAACCATGAAATTGTGTTATACACAGCACTCCATTTGTGTTGTAAGCAGATGTGCCAAAAAGTAGCCACAGCACTAGGAACGAACAGGGGACAGACAACTTTTTTATGGTACTAAATTTTTTTATTAATCACCAAGAGAATTACAAAACTTCAGCTAGGCCACAACGCGGTCTGCTGTCTTATCTAATCAAGCTCAAAAACAAACAAAATCTGCTAATACTTGGCTTAATGGAATTAAGAAGCCCACCTCCTAGGGAGGGTTTCTTCTTAGTCCCATGTCTAAACCTATTATGAGTAATACAAAGATAAAACTAATAACAATAATACTGATGCAAAACTAGAGCTATCACTGAATGGGCAAAACTGGATCGCTACAAACCGGACATGTCTTCTTCCTCGTCAGTAGCCACTTGTTGGCGCAATCTGCATGAAAGTCATGGCCACAGTGAAGTGTGCCAATGATATCTTCATCTTCATATTCATATGCACATATGAAACAAGCATCTTGCTCCTCATCATCACACATTGGACCATAATATGTTCTTGTTTCTAAATATTCAGAAACCCCAAACTCTTCTACTTCTATTTCTTGATCAAGACTATCATCTATGTCAACCCCAAACTCCTCTTTCTCCTCCTCCTCTTCTTCTATTTCTTCTTCAATTTCATCATCAAGATTATCATCAGATTGTGGCACCGAAAACACATAATGATTAACACTATACTGATCAGATATGTCAACCCCAAACTCTTCTTTTTCTATCTCTGCATCAAGTTTATCAAGAATACTATGAGGAACTGATGACGGCACCCACGAACAATGAGGCATGATACACTCATTCGAGCTGTTGTAGCCATATGTCTGGGCACTTGATCTCTTGTTTGCAACATAGTAGTAGTATGAGACATGTTACCTTGTAGAATGAAAGTTGTTGGGATTATAGGGTTTAATGTTTACAGAGTTAAATATATAGGCCAGAAATAATACCCAATTTGATTGGGAATAGGACTAATACCGCGTTTCCTTATGCTTGCGTACCAAGATTCTTTCCTTATTCTTTCATTGTCCTTTTTTCTATTTCTTCTTTTTTATTCTTAGACTACATAATTTAGGCCCTAAAATTATTTCTATTAAATATAAAATATGTAATTCAAATGATTATTATTTCTTATTGAGATAAGTAAAAAAAATTAATCATTTGTTACCAATCATTAGTCGCATAATTCTTACTTTATACGAATTTTTAGGGATTTAGTTGAGGATCATAAATGAAAGTGGTAGATAAGCAAAATAGCAGTCCACTGAAACTTAACCAATCTTCTCAACGTCGATTTTGTATTTTTTTCAAGGTCTTAGTAGATTTGCTTCAAGCTAATTAGATCGTCACACTCCCCAGATTCTCCTGTGCAAGTTACAAAATTAAATTACTCGATTTAATATACATAGGGATAAGAAATTATTTTTCGTGTATCCATATCAAATATAGATTAATGTAAATAGTTTCCTCGGTTAAAATCTTATTAAGATCAATAATGTCTCGAGAAAAAAATGAATTATATGAGTGGGGACTATACTATCAGTTACAAAAGAAATTAATTATAGAAATGCATCTAAAAAGCATGAATAATAAACTCCAAATAAAAATACGTATGTGTCTACTCTTACAAATACACGAAACTCAAACATACATTGTTGATTTACCCTTTTAAATTTTGTAAGTGGATTCCATATTGGGTAAAATTACAATTATAATTAATCATAAATATATTATTATTTCTTGTATTTATTATTTGTCCTTATTATTACAAATTATCTTCTTATAAGATGATATTAGGAATACGGTAAATACCCTTTCGAAGTTTTTACTTCAATTTCTCTTGTTGCGGTTACTTTTGTAATTCTTATTTGTCATAAGAAAGTTGGAGTATCATCTTTGTTAAAAAGTTACAATTAATTTTAAAACTTCGTACTTCCTTATTCATATTATATTACTAGTCTCTGGCCAAATATTTTGCGTATGTATGTTATGTCAATGAATATACAATATTAAAACCGTATATATTATTAAGTAATATATTTGATTTATTATATAAAAGTAGAAAAGTAAAAATATTTTATTATAATTTCGGGCTTTACCTCCTACTACCAAAGTTATCCAATTATCGGAGAAAGCCAGGTGCCGTAGGTAACGAGCAAGAAAACGGATGCGCTAAGAAGCAACTTCGTGCAGCTGCTGCGCCCTTGCTTCTTGCCTTATCTTACTTAGTAAAGCAACCTTTCGCGCTAGGCGCTCACCTTTTTTGGCTTCCCTAAAATAGAATATTTGGAATTCTTTCTTTTGAGATTAGTTAGCATAATATATAAAATATAAAGAAATTAAATGATAAGCTTGGTGTATAGTCTATTAATCTCCTCTAGATATTGATTATTTGAACTTTATGAGTAATATTTGAACTTGAAGCATAGAATGATTTTAAGGTAATAGGTATAGATATTGATATACATATCGTGTAATAATTTCATATACTACTCTATGATTAGGGTAGAAGATTAGTAGGTAATCGAGCAATCTCTTTGTCTTCCTCAGTTCGATAGTATTAGTGTTAGTTTAATCGGTTATCCCTTTATTCTTAGATTGCTATTACTACTATGTAATTGCTACCCTGGCTTTGGTCCACTTTTTATCTTCTTGTTGTTGATACTTGTTGCCATTATATCTTTTTATCTTTTCTTTAGCCGAAGGTCTTTCGGAAACAACCTCTGGGTTTGTTGGAAACAACCTCTTTGGAAACAACCTCTCTGCCTTCCAAGGTAGGGGTAAGGTTGCGTACATCTTACCCTCCCAGACTCTATTTGTGATACTTTACTGGGTTTGTTGTTGTTGTACTAGAGGAACGTAAAACACCCGATCTGAATTTAAGAATACTATTAAAAAGAATTTACTTTTCGTAGGGCTCAATTTCTAATGGAAACCACCGTTTAAAACTCAGGAATTAAAAAAAATAATACTCCTTCCGGTCCATAATAAGTGACCTTTTGGCCTTTTTATTTGGTCCAAAACGTCATTTACATAATCAAGAAGGAATTAATTTTATTTTTTCAAAATTTACCGTTATTTACATATCCCGATATGTCAAAGTAACAATATGCAAATTTTAATTAAGGGTAATTTAGTGAATATATCTTTTTTTTCTCTAGGAGTTAGTATTTTCTTAAGAGTGCCAAAGATAAAAAAAAAAAAAAAAAGTCACTTGTTATGAATCGAAGGGAGTAGCAACATAAAAAATGCCAAACAAAATGCAACAAAAAATCTGAGATACAGGAACAGAAAAACTAGCTAAAGTACTATTTCTAATGTCTAAAATCTTCACCTTCAACAATTATTTGAAGGGGCAGAAAATAAAAAAGAATTTCTACTAAGAGACAAAAGACACCATGTTTCAGTAGCAAAAACTAATAGATCACCCACAGTGATTAATATTTTAGTACCTGCCAATACATATCATTGCAGCCATATATGTATCTTCACGAAAATTTAAATGTCCGATTGTAAATCTCTTCCTTCACCCATTTAAAATTCTTCAATGTAGATCTTTTCACTTCAAATTGAACATCTATATTCACTTGAATAATGCCGAATTTTTGTCATCATGCTATGCTAGAAGTTACAACTTTTATCAATTATCAGTTCAATAGTTGTACACAAAGTGTTACTCTTTGAATAAAGTCAGAAGATACCACTATTACTATTAGTTTAATAATTTATCCTAGCGTCATTCAGTGAATCAGTTTGTTTGAACCGCGGACAAGGGCGGATCCAGGATTTAAATCCTATGGGTTCAACTTTGAAGATTCTTACCACTGTGCTCATTATGATTTTAAAGTCATGAGCTCATATTTATTATTTATTTTAGTTTTAATAGATTTTACATATAAATTTATGCTCTGCGTCGAAAGTTATGAGTCCAATTAAACCCGTACTAATATGTTTGTCACCTCTGGGCAACTAGCAAAGTTCTTTGGGTCTTGAATCTCCTTTCGGCTAGAATATATTTTTATTTAAAGTCTATTCTTCTAACTTTTTTGAGATACAAAGTTATTAATAATCCTTTTTATATCGATTTTCTCTAATAATCATATATCTAAAGAGCTTTCTTTCCTTTTATATTAAAATTTTTTATTTATGAATTAAAAATACTAAATATTATTTTTTAAATACCTATAAACCTTTTTTTTAAAAAAGATGGGCCAAATGAAGCGTTGATATGCAGAATGAAGCATTATGGCAAGCAAATATGCAGAACGAATTCATATGTGATATCACATTGCTCTTCACGTTTTCTTTCTATTAATAACAATTTACTTTGAAGCTTCAGATATTACTCTGGTCTTTAAAATTTTAGGGGAAAAAGACACTATCATTCTTCAACTTTGGCAGCCTAAAATTGAGCATTCTTTTAGCTTGCCGCTTGTTTAAATTGATCTTTACTTTGTACAAAACCATCAAATCCTACTTAGTTCACTCCTTTAACAAAAAGTGGACCAAGTGAGACAACCATAGTATGTAATACTAAGTCACTTGGTAGTCTTTTTATTTTATTATATATATTAGTAGGAACACAAAAACTAAATTTTCTTAATAATCAAGCATTCCATACAGTCTGCAGTACATCAAATGGTTGTCTTTTTTTTTTCTTTTTTTTTTTTAAAGTCAATAATTTAAAACTCCAAGTCAGTGTCAAAACTATGTATACGTTGCGAAAATGACTCAACCCGACCTTGATTTATTGAATATATGTCAGTGCAATTAAACATGTCAATAAAAGAGGCAGTCCCGTGCACTACGCTCCCGCTATGTGCGGGGTTCGGGGAAGGGCTGGACCACAAGGGTCTATTGTACGCAGCCAAACATGACAATAGTAAAGAGAGAAATAATAACCTCAGAAGCAATAATATATACATCAGAATTTCGATCCCCTCCTCTCCTGAGCTGCAACTCTTCAATTTCTCTGTCATTAGTTTAACCATTTATGCGGCGGAGAAGGCTAACAAACACAAGAACCTGATGCCATAGTCGCACAAGATGGCTCAGGAAACTACAACACAAAAAAGGGTGCGCAATCTCGGCAGCTCCAAACAACAACATTGAAAAATACTACATCAGAATTCAAGTTGGGCTGTCCATTCAACTCAATGAATCCTTTTCAATCTATCAAATGGTCGATACAAAGTTACATATACCATTTGATATATAGAATAAGTTTAAGGGACAGTTCTAAGTTCCTTGTTTTATTTTGTAGTATTTTCCTCTACTGTTGTTTGGTGCTGCAAGATTGTACATGTTATTGTATTGAAGTTTCCGAGCCATATTGAGAGACTATTTCATGAAGTCAACTTTCTTGTTTCAAGTTACAATTTACCTGCACAATTACAAATCTGGTTATTCAAGTCAACTTTATACTGTAAATAAAGATTAATTTAACATAGCCAAAGAGTTGAGCATTATATTGTTGTGATAAATCAACAGCACCACCATAGCAAAAGAACTTCTTGGCAAACTCAAATGCAACTCTTATTGTTATTTAGTTCCTATATGTCTAAATGTTTTTTTTTTTTTTTTTTTTTAGGGGGGGGGGGGGGGGTACCGGGGGTATCTGAATAATCATCTAGCAACACA